AATTATTGAAACACATTTTCAAATCAGGAAGCGTTAATAATTCATAAAGGTTAATCTTTGAACATTAGTGTTTTTTAAGAAGGTTTTTAAGTGACAGATAAATTGATCCATTTTCCCCTCTCATTGAAGTAGGACAGGATTTTTATAAAAAACTTTAAATGATGGTGCTATTTCATGAATTTTTTTCATGCTCTGAATATTTATGTTCATGAATGAAATAAAATGAGGCTGTAATAAATATTTTAATTTACCTTTTGTAGCCCAAGTACAGAGCTACATGCCTGTGAAGATAGGGAGCACATTCACTGTACCCGTTGTGCACATGAGATGTACTAGGGTGATAATATCAAATAAGCAGTAATGCTGGATTTGGCACTTGATATGAATATATATATATTGAGATTGTCAGAATTTATGGGACTAGGCATAGATTATAGCATATTATTGGGAAATGTCCTGGGATTCTGTTAAAACCTTCCAGTTTACAGCCATGTTGTGCTATATTTAAATCTAGTGATATTTTACATACAGGTAGTTCTGTCTATTGTATCTTCAGTTGCCATTTGATTCCTGTTTAAATTAGAACTTGTACTTCTAATCTATTTTTTTTTAATTCCATGTGGGGTTATTTTTTAAATTAGGACTTGAACCATTTGTTTCCATTTTGTTTTGTTTTAGGATTTGTAAATACCTCTCTGTCTCAGGAGCGTGTGAGATGGTGAGAACAGCACCAGGGCTAGTTTGGAATTTTCATTGTAACTGCAGCAATACCGGTTTAAATAGAGGTCAAACAGCTGCTGTGGTTTTTCTCATGAAAGGAAAAGCCCTGTTTCATCCCTGGATTGGTGCATTTGACATAGGTGGTTATCCTGTGGGGTGAGGTGAAGAGTCTTGCCTGTCTGGGCTGTGACAAAGAAAGCAGCATTGCAGCAAGGCAGCTGGCTCCCTCATCTCTCTGAATTAAAAAGTTATGTGGAACTTTCCTGAGAATCCACATTTGTCTTCTGAATTTTCCCAAAAAGCGTTAGATATGCTGTGACAGGCCAAGGGATTTGCCCCATGTTATTGGGAATGAGGGATTTGCCCGGTGATTAGGAGGCACAGGGATGAGGAACCATCATGAAGATATTTTCTGAAAAGAAAGTGACTGTGATGCTTCCTCCAGACAAGAGAGCTCATTAAGCTCAGCTACTGAAGCAGCTTAGAGGCAACATGGTGGGTGCAAGTGCTGAGGCTCTCCTGGGCTTGGTACAGCAACAGTTCTGGGCCCTCAGAAGTTTGCATCTGTTTGGCTTAAGGCAAACACAGCTTCTCTATCCACAATCCAGGAGCCAATCATGTGAATGATAGTGTGGTCTGGGTAGCAAAACAAGGCTCCCTAGGCCAAAAGATTGGTTGTCAAATTGCCCAGACGTTCACTGGATATAAACATCATATAGCATTGAGGGCGAGGAAAGAATTCAAGGATGAGCAGAAAGATGTGAGAACTACAGTTACTGTTAGTTTTCTAGTCTGTTTTGGCTACTCTCGTTTCACGGTTTCCTCTCTGCTCTCAGTAATTATACTAATAGTATTGATTCAATCCTTTCAGTCTTCAAAGAGCTGTTTGAATAATAATAAGATAATCCTTCTGACCCCTGGAGAGGCAGATAACCATTTTTAAAAATAAAAAGTCCTTGTCCAAAAAAGGCAGATTTGATAGCAGCACTGCAGGCAAAGGGAAGGTCATGCCTAAAACTGGGGCATGTCTTTAGTCAATGTTCTGTTTTGAAGAATAGCTTTTTGTAAGGGAGAAGTGGAGTGAAGAAGAGGATGACAAAGCAGCAGGCTAGGTAGATGCCAAGCCTCCGTGGTATGTTCACAGTTCCAGGCAGCAGTTCCCTTGGGGGCTGTGCCACTGGACAGCTCAGAGAATTTTCAGGATTTTCTTTATCTTCCCTTCATGTCTACTTTCCTTCTCCTAATTTTAGTGCCTCCCAGTTCTGTTTTGCCTGAAAGTAGGTAATGTATTTGCTGCTGAGTCTTGTATGTTTTTACAGCTTCTGACATACAGATGCCTTGATCGTGATGAAAATTTGAGATCCAGTTGTGGTGTTGGTGTTTCACAGACACATTTTCTCCCTGTGATGCTACTGCAATCGCTTCCCAGCTGGATGCTGGCCTGGGTTTTTATGAGGTGTTTTGCTGTATTAGCACTGTTCCTTTCTCCCAGCTCTTCCCACCCTGAGTGATTTCACTCAAGGTTGAAAAGATGAAGTGTCAAAAACAGGGTAAAGAAATATTGGATGCTTATGCTCTCACCTAAGACTTCGATCTCTAGTGAGTGACGCTGTTTGTCTCAGTAGCTTCTTGTTTTGTAACTGCTTTATGTTGTAACACAATTATCTCAGCATCAAGCCAGTTCTTTATTCACTTTACACTGACATTTCTTAAACGTCTCTAGTGATGTGGTGTCAGGTAGCACCAGAGGAGATATGATCAAAGAGATTTATGCAGGTGAGTGTGAATGTATTTTCTGCATGAAGGAATTAGAAGTTACCTACATGTGTGATTACTTACAGGGCGCTGAAGGGAACCTTGTATGAATTCAATATACACTGTGTAAAACATGAACTCAAAGCTTTTTTGCCCTGGGTACATGGTCTTACAGACCTCTATGCTGTGCTGTGTATTCTTATTGCTACAGTTGGAAGAACTCAGCTCTGTAGTGATTCATTTGGTATATCTCATGTACAGAGGAATGTGGGTATTGATCTAGGTCATTAAAACGTATCATGCTTCTATTATTTTATAAGCATGGACTGCATACAAAGACAACATAATAAATTGTAAAATGTATTCCAGTTCATAAAATTCACCAGTCTATTGCTCTGCCCAGGGTGACTATTAAGTTACAGTCACTCTTGTGGAAAGTGAGGAGCTGTGTATGCCTTGTAATGCATATATAATACAAAATGTGTCTTCTCAGTAGACCCTCACAGCAAATGCAGTGAGAAATCAAATTACCCCAATTTTCTTCCCTTCCTTTCTTCACTTACCACTATTAGTTTCTTTCTTGAATTTGGTATGTTATAACCATATATTGATCGTATTGACATTTCAGTCATTGATTATTATAGCAACATAGTGCATCATGCCAGTGCATATAAGTGCAGCATGACAGTGTAACTATCTTCTGGCTTTCCAGAAATCATTGGCAATATGACTAATGACAAAAGCTTTTTTTTTCTTTAAAAAAAAGTATTCTTTCTTCTTGTTTCAACATAAACTAATATAAACCCACTGTGGAGTGTGAGGCACTGGTAATGACTCACTGGGCAATGAGACAGCAATCTCAGACATTGTAATGTGATGCAGAAAAGGTCATGAACTTGCTTTCATAACAGGATTATTCATACGTTCATTCATTAAAAATTAAACTCATGTGGGAGCATGTGATGCGTTGAAGTTGGCAAGTACTGGGGAAAACTTTCTTGCAGTTTCTTTAGTCCTGATCAGTTGGTGTGAGTTGAAGTCACTCCAGATTAAGTCTTGTCTTATTTAGTGCCATTTACACCTGAAGTTAATTAATTGTTCCTGTTGGAGACAAGTGCCCTAAGTAGCTACATAGTGTTTCAGAATCATGGCTTTATCGTCATGCAGTGATGGTTGGATGGTTGCTTTGTTTTGATTTTTAAGTCTCTCCAATGAGCTTATATTGAAAAGAAAAACATGAAGTTATATATTACTTATTTCATCTTACCTAAGAGTTACTTTCCTTTTTAATTGTACTGTTAAAAGTTTTTGTTGTTGTTGTTGTTTGGTGTGTTCATTTTGGATGGTCTTCTGGGGTCATGCAGAAAAATTGATGTGCTTCAAAGTCTTGTGACACAGATACCTGTTCCAGCTTGATAGCATTGCTGTGTTTTGGTTTATGGTTGTTTTTTTTTCTATTGATGTCCATGCTAGAATGCAGCTAGGAAAGGATTGGTTAGTCAGAACTATAATAGGGTACACAGGGAGGCCTGTCTAGTCTAGTGTAGGACTCCCTTAGCCAATATCAGATGCCTGTGAAAGAATCTAAAAATGGGGTGAGCATGTAGTGGCAGACTGTGACTCAGAGTTGTCTTGGGTCAGGGATGATATTTTTGAGGTCAATAGCCTTTAGCAGAATACTTCTTATGTGAATTTGCCTAATCATATTAGTACTTATGTTGACTTCTGACTTCCACAGCAACATGAGGCAGGGAGTTTCACAGTGATAAAGGAGCATATAAAGATGTCTCTCCTATTGCTGATTCTAAATCTGTTTTTTGATAAAATAACATGATGCCACAAATTTTTTTCATTAAAAAAAGAGGAATGGGAGCCTGTTTTCATTTTTAAGTATGCCACTCACTTTGTGGGTCTCCAGCATATTTCCACTCAGTTCTTTTACAGGCTAAAAAAAATTCCCAGTCTGTGTAGTTGTTTCATATGTGGAATCTGTATGTGCTTTGAACCCTTTTTACTGCCTTTTACTGTAGCTTTTTTAGTTGTATAATCTTAAGATGAGAACCAGAACTACATTCAGAAAGTGGTTGTGCCATGGATTTATATGGCAATGTAATTAGTCTTTCCATTTCTATAACTTTCCTAATATTTCTCAACTTAGGACTTGTTTCTTTCCTCCCCATGACAATAACTGTCTCCCATTCCCACATTGTTTAAAACATTATTGACCTGATTTTAATTTTTTGTTGGTGTAGGAGTATACCAGTGACATGATAAACTTTGAGGTAATGGCATCAGTTACTGTAAAATTTTAAAGATGTAACCAAGTAATATTTGAAGCCATAACCTCGGGGAGCATCAGAAAGAATTTAAATCCTATTTACAGTTCAGTGTTCCAACATTTCTTTTGTCCATGAGCTGGATAGCAGCTCGGGTTGGGTTTAGAATCCAAATGAAGCTAGAGCTGCATTGTACTTGCACATCAGCAGACAGACAAGATTTCTATGTCTACTTTTCTTTAATTGCAGGTATTTATGAGCCGCCATTTCTTGTATTATTGTGGTGAACCTACTCTGGATGTGAAGATTGCCTTTTGTCAGGTGTGTGTTCCTTACAGGTAAAACAAGGTACAGTATATACTTGTACTTCATTTTTGCAATTCATACTATAATAAAAGAAAAATAGAAGTGAATTTCAGAAGCTTACTGCGAGTAACTGGTTATAAGAAAGAGAATAAATACAAAAAAATAGAAAAATGCATCACAAAAATTACTTTTCTATTTACTTTTAAGTTTATTTTGTAGATTGATGTTAATGTAATTTTTTTAGTGAAAAATAATGGCACAGTTTGCAAACAGAAAAAATGCAAACTAAAACTATTTTATCTTAGCCTCTAGGGTTTTTTGAGACAGAGCCTTTCACATTGTAGCCTGTGACTGTAATTTTCTGCCCCTTAGTTTACCTTTACTGGAAGTGTAGGGAGGGTAATTAAAATTGTGGTGTTTGTCTTGTCTCCCATTGAACTCCACGTGCTATGCAGGTTCCAGAGTCGTGAGACTGCACAACAGCCAATTCTGTATTTCTACATTACCCTTGAAATTGCTTGGTCACGATACATGGAAGTCTACAAGGCTGAGATTAAATCAGTGATGCAAAGAAAAAAGCTTATTGATTTGTCCAGTTTTTGATTCTCTTGGTTAAGTTAGCTAGCATATATGTATGTATATGCGTATTTTTTCATTCATGATTGAAAGATGACTTTTTTTCTCACTTCTGTACAGTCTTTTGTGCTTGAATTCTGTCTCTTCATAGTTTAGGGGTTTTTTCTTGTTCGGGGGGTTTGGGTTTTTTTGTGAGATGGAACACTGATGGAACACCAGTAATCTAACTCACTGGGGGGACATTAGGAACATTCTTCAATTTTCAGGGTGAGAGTGATGCTGCGTTCTTAGAAATTACGTTATGATAAACACTATTTTTTGCCTTTTATATTGCATTTGGGGTTCAAGTAAGTTCAAGTAAGTTCAAGAAGAAAGGGCTACTATGTGTATGTAAGCATTTCATACAAAACAGTGTCAGGTGTTGGAAGGTTTACTTTACGTTTTTTAACTCTGAAGTACTAAATACTTGTTCTCCTGAGAAGGTTGGCTCTGGACTAAGTATCGTCAGTTCTGGGATGGATCTTGGCTATTCAGTTTGATAATCTGTCTAACTGTCTTCTCTTTTTTATCTTCTGTTCTTTGTGTGATATGTTCAACTGGCTTAATTCTTCCATGGTTTTTGAGAGAAGGGATTTTGCTAAACATAGTATTTTTGTAATGTTTTGACAGTTTGGTTAAAAAAAAAATTGCAAAAATTGCAAAACAGTTTTTTTTTTCTCACATTTTATGAAAAAGATGTTATTGATGAAAACGTTACTTTCACTATGCAGAACAGAGTTTTTTGCATAGCTCTGGTGCTGACTTTCCTCTCCCTTTTACTTAGACCAAAACAAAGCTGCACAGAAACATTTCTGTTTTACACATGCAGAGAGGAAATGTACTCTAAATCACTTCCTTTTACATCCCATTCTCATTTAGTGTTGGCATCAGTCAGTGCGTGACTATGTGCAGCCAATCCTTTCTGTCACTGCACTCCAGGTTCTTGATTTACTGAAGACATTCCTTTTCTATTACCATAACTTGATAAAAGGTGTTAGAGGAACACAAAGAACCAAACGTATTCACAGTGTTTTTGTTAAAGTGTATATGATGAAATCGACAGCGTTTTGGATGCATTTTTATCACTGAATGAAATAGATTCATTTTTAATGGCTGCAGCAGGTGTCCAGAGAGGAGTCATCCAATAAATACACACAAAGAGATACTATCCTGATATTGTAGGAAACAGGATTCTATTGTTCAAGTACTTATCCCACAAATACCTTTTTCAGGGGTCTTCAGATCTTCACATTGATTCTCTTGCAGATAAAAGCTGGTTTAAGCTTCATATTAATTTATTCTCTCCATAAAGATAAGTACTGATTGATCCAAATAGGAGTTAGCATTATGTACAAAAACAGTCTCTAAATTAAGTGGTTTGTTGCATTAAGACCTTATCTGTCATGGATGCTGTTCATTTGTATTGCATAGGGTGGGATGGGACTTATTTCTCTGTCCTTGTAATACTTCATTCAAATATCCAGGTCTTTATTTAGAGACTATGAATAAGTCTCCAGGTAGTAATATTGTTTATTCCATTCTTATTAATGCTAATGTGGAAATCAAATGCCCTGTGGTTTACTAATAACGCTTCTGCTTTAAGTATAAAGCTCATTTGTACCTTTACGAAACTTCCATCTGCTGAATCAGTGAACTGATAAGATTCTGTTAACAAAAGATGATGATGTCACAGCAGAATGGTTGTAATCAGCAACAGGTAGATATTGCCACTCATATCTTGAGGTGTCTAAAACTGACAACTATCCCGACAGTATCTAGACAAGAGAGCACAAAACTGTAGCTTTGAGTGAACATGTGGCTCGTGTTTATTATGTACAAGTCCTGCTTCCATTTCAAATTTACACACCACTGCAGACTTTCTACAAAGCTTAAGAGTTGTGCTGGAGAGTCCTTTATAAAGCTACAGTACTGAGCAGAACTCCAATTATTTTTAGTACTGGGGGTGTATTTTTCTTGTAACATATATTTGTGGCGATTTCTCTCTCATGGCCTAAAGGCTTTATGGACTGTGAAGGGAAGTGGCATATGCATAATTGTGGACTCTTTCTCTTGACAAAGAGCTTATGCCAATGAGCATATTAGTTTTGTATGATGAAATGCTAATTCAGCAGGAACAGAATTTTAAGAATTTCCAACTTAAGGAAAAGGGAAAACCCTTACTGAGAAATACCCAGTAGCATAAGTAGAGTAAATATGTATTTCCTCACCCCTTCACCCCATTTGCAATATAAAAATACCTGAATCTGGAATTACTGGACAATGCTAGCTAATTCATGTTCTGAAACAGCCATCTCTTTTAAGGCTGAGGAAAAGGATATCTGCTTTTCTATGATAATAGAAAGGTAGGACAAGAAAGCCTATAGAATTTCATTATACTTCTGTAAGGTTGATATCACCAACAAGCTTTATCTGTAGGACCCTACACATTTTTATTGAAGCACAATGTAATGCAGAGTAGTATACTGTAAGTAGAATAGGACATTAAATTTTAATACTAATAATAATAGCTAACAATGCCTAAAGGATACTGACTGCTTCATCCATATTTTCCTCCATTTAGTCTTTCAGTATATTTTTTAATCAATATCAAAACATGTATAACCTGTCAGAATTTTTAAGTTTCCTAAACTTGTAGCTACATGGGATAGCTTTACTTAGAATACAATTCCTTGATTTTTTTCTTTTTTTTTTTTAACTTGGATCAGTAGTACTGAATTTTCTTTTCTTTAAAAAACACATCTTTATTATTACAATTTGTATATCAGAAAATTTCTGTATTGCTACACTTAATATTTTAATTTAAAAATTTAATTTAAAAATCGAATCTTTTTTAACAGAAAAGTGGGATGTGGAATTACTGTGAGATTAGCTATTGAGGACCCAGCCATACACATTAAGAAAAAAATTAAAGTGAATCATGTGTGTAAATTCACATGCTATTTCTTTGGTTACACATCATCACTAGTTTTTATTGCCCAATTTAAACAATTTCATGTGCCAGACAGTATGTCAGTGTTTTTGCATGCTGAAGTTGGAATTGATGCTGTACTGATGCCACTGTATAAAAACCTAATGAAATCTTAGTGTGCATGTTGAGGATATTTTTGCAAAGTCCTACTCAACTCAAAAAAACAAACAGATCAACAACAAAACCCACCACCAAACAAATGAACAAAAAACGCCAAAGATTTAAAAGGCTTTAATTTCTCTCTAGGCATATTTTTCTCCCTATATTTTGCTGACTTACTTTATTTCCACAGTCATGTTTACCTGTCTTGAATAAATGGTATATAAACAGTGCAATATTGCATCAATGACCATTTAAAAATCACATGATTTTAGGAAACGTCTCATTTTACACACAGAAAAGATCAGTATTAATAATGGCATTGCTCTTTGTTTATTGGCTGATTCATCTAGTCTATTTTTGATGTTTGATAAACCACTTTTTTTTACAAATAATGCTTTTGTCAAATTGAATGGAGTCACCACTTTGTCCATTTAAGAAACTGTATTGATGCAGAATGTCCTATAATTATGCCTAATCTCCAATGGGAGATTAATTGGCATTCATAAGCCATCAACAAGGGGTGGTATGTGTCTTAGATTTGTAGGAGTAGAATAATACTTCACAGGGTCAAGAGCTAGCTATTTCTAACTAAAGGCATGATTAAATTATTTAGCTCCATATGGTCTTTATTTATAAAAAGGGAGAATCTTTTCATTAACTATTGTCTTCATGGCAAATACTGTAATTATATAATCATATTGAGAAGTTGAGCTTTCTAGTACTTCATCTGTACTGTTGCTACATGCCTCTTTATTTTTAAAGAAAGACATGATGTGCATTGGGGCACAGCACCTCATGTAGTCAGTCTTCTTGCTGCCCCTAGAAGAAAGCTTCTTAAACAATACCCAGTATTTCAGTGTAATTTCAATTTCCTGAGAAGTGTAAACCATTTGAAATATATTGTATTATCAACATATGCAATAAATAAAGAAGAGCTGTTAATCCCATCTCGGGTCTCCTATGTTTTTAACACACTGTACTTCTTCAGAACCCTTCTTAACCCCTACACTATTGTTGATAAATTGAGTGTACTTTTCATTCCTTAATGTTGTGATGCTTCGACCTACTTCTACTGATCCCATTTCTCTTTCCTAATCTTTATTGTATCTTGCTTCTTCCCATGTTAGTTCTTCTTTTTTAAATCTAGGGCCTCAGAACAAACTGAATATACACACTGCAGTGTTTCTTCTCATCTAACATAGATGTTGCTGTTGACGTTGCTTTCCTCTGTTTTGGCCACAGATCCACAGTGGGTCTTTGCTGGTTTTCTGCTTCGGGAGCTGTACCTGAGTCAGATGTTTGCAAACAT